CCATTAAATCTTAATTAAGATTTTTTGGACTTTTAAATCCCATTAAATTTTTAATTGTCAGAATTACCCTTCAAATAATAATTGTTCATTATTTATGATTATCTATAAAGGAACACGATGATTTGACATATATTTTGATTTTCAAAACTTTAAAATATCAACTTTTAAATTGAAAAAGCTAAAAAAAAAAATTATGTGTTTTTTGAAAAAATTGAAAATTTGAATTATTTTTTTGTGCAAAACTGAAAATTTTGTGTCTATAAAAAGGACATGATGATGGAATATTGATGTGCAAAACTGGGAAAAAAAATTAAAAATAAAAAAACTGATAATATTCTCAATTTTAAAATTGGAGAAAACTGTTAATGTTCTCGGTTTTATTAGACAGTTGAATCAAACCAATAAGTAGAAGCTCAAAAACATGTATTCTCATACTCTGTTTTTTTATCAGTTAGTGAAACAATTATCTGAAACATTGCTATGCAAAATTAATAGTGTTCTTAGTTTTAAAAATTGGGAAAAACTGATAATATTCTCCGTTTTACTAAATAGGATTTATTGGTTCAAAAAATCTTAAATATGACCTGAGCTACCATAACATTTGTAAATAGGATTTTTAGGTAATTAACTCAATAAAAAATAAGGATAAAAAGGGTAAATTACAATTACTTCCCTTGAGGTTTTGCATAATTGTAGGGACCTTCCTTATGATTTCTGAAATTACACTAACCTCTTTTACTTTTTTTGGCATTGTCAAGATTTCCCCCTCTATTAATTTGGCCCAAATGATGTGCAAATGACCATAATACCCTTGAAACACTATTCATAGCCTCATGGAAAATAAGTATAATTTATCAAAAAAATTTCATATTCTACACACCAAAGAAGTCATTCCAAAGACATCCAAATGGAAAAGCTATAACAACTTCCCAAACCAACAATTCATGGGGGACCAAAGAAACAAAGTGAACTCAAAATAGAAGAAGAGAAATAGAAAACCAAAAAAATTGATGGAAGCCATTAATGGGAAGCTAGAATTAGAGCAAAAAGTGAATGACCCAATAGAGTATTATGCATTAGAAATCAAACCTACAAACTATTTGAAGAACCCATGTGTGTGCGTGTATGTGAAGCTCTATGGGTTTTTGTGAGTGAATGGTGAAAGAAAGAGAGACAACAAAACAAAGCCGTGAGGGAGAGAGAGGATCTCAGGTGACGGTGACCAACAAGGAGGTGAATCGGTACTTCGGTTGCCGGCGAACGCGAAGAGGAGCGGCAGTGAGAGATGGAGAAGAGAGGAGCAGCAGAGAGGGAGAGGAAGAGGGAGAGGGACACTGAAGAGGGGGGAGAGAGAGAGAGAGAGAGAGGCGCTAGTTTTGTTTACAGTTTGGTTTGGTTTAGTGAGAGTGTGAGATATGTTATATAGATGGTTATTGGCAACTAAAATTTTTTAGTCGCTGAAAGTATTTTATAAATCCCTCTAAAATATTTGAAATGTCTCCCTCCAAAAATTTTAGTTCTTTGGCAACTAAAATTCTTTTTTGTCGTAGAAAATAAACTTTTGGCAACCAAAATTTTGGTCGCCAAAGGTAAAAAATAATTTTTCATTTTTCATTCGGCGACTAAATGGTTTAGTAGCCAAAACTCAATATACGGCGACTAAAATTATTTTTTGTCGCAGAAAATAAACTTTTGGCAACCAAAATTTTGGTCGCCAAAGGTAAAAAATAATTTTTTATTTTTCATTCGGCAACTAAATGGTTTAGTAGCCAAAACTCAATATACGGCGACTAAAATTCTTTTTTGTCACTGCAAATAAACTTTTAGGTAAAAAATACTTTTTTATTTTCCATTTGGTGCCTAAATGGTTTTAGTAGCCAAAACTCAATATACGGTGACTAAATTTTTTTTGGGTTGCCAATTCTGTCATTTTTAGTGACTAAATTTTTTTTAGTTGCCAAAAATCAATATACCCCGACTAAAAAAATTAGTAGTTAAATATTTTACTTTTGCCGACTAAAAAAATTTTTGATCGCCAATTCCATAACTTTTGGCGACTAAATTTTTGTTAGTCGCCAATTTTAATTGCTGAAGGTATATTTTGTTGCAGTGAATGTAACCTTGACTTTGCATTCTTTTTGCCATAAGTTTTTCAACTTTTATAAATAAAAAATAGAAATTCAGCCATTAATGAATGTGAGAAAGAATATCCATATTTCTTATTTGAACTAAGTTTAAGATTTAATTTAATAAAAAAATAGTTTAAATAAGAGAAAAAAAATATGGAGATGTAGAGTTTAGGCGCAATAGATGACAAATTATTTGAGTATTTTATTATTTTCAAATAATTTATGCGTTCAAGTAAAATTCAATTTTAATTTTAGGGATAGGAAATGATATTGTTTTAATAGTTTATTATTTTCAAATAATTTATTGATCCTTCATTTAATTTAAGTTATTATAATGGGATTAGATTTTTTTTCACTTTTATATTCATTTTTTAAAATTTTGTTAATAAGATGAGAAATATTGACCTGTATTTTTTTAATATGCATTGACTAAAAATTGAAAGACTTAAAGATAAAAATTAAAATTTGAGAATTGCATAGGATTGTGAAAAGATAAAAAATAATATTGTTTTTCTATATATGTATAAATAAGTAGTACAAATTTCCCAAAAGCAAAAAAATAAACAAAAAGTTTAAAAAAAGCAACACATGATTTTTATGAGGTAACATTTAGTAATATTTATAGGTTCATTTTTTTTTTTAATAAACATGAAATGTTAGTATGTTTATTTTTTAAAAATGTTTAATACACATATGTTTACAAAATAAAAGAAAAATACATGTTTTGTAAGTTGCTATGGTATTAGGCGATGCGCGCAATGCTCTAGCAATGATAAAAGAGAAAAATTAAGAACGAAAATGAAAGAAAGAGCATAAGGAAAGAGCACCCAAAAAAATGGGAGAATTATAAATCAGTAGGAACTAAAAGAATTATTTACAAAAAACTGATAAATATTAATAATTAAAATTATAAACATTTTTACCTTTTTGTAAATATATTTTTTTTCATCCCATTGATCAGCAATGCTCCCAAAGTAAAATTGTCCCTCCTAAAAAGATTATTTCAGAAATGGGCAATAGTTAGGAGAGGTGCGCAAGCGGCGAGCATAAGCAAGGTTATTAGACACCTCAAGAAAGTCTGGCCAAAACCACACGTGTGGCGTTGCTATTAGTTGTATACACTACGAAAAAAATAAAAGAGAGAATAAATAGAAAGAAGAATGAAAAAAATAAAAGAAAGAAAATGGAAAGAGATGGAGATAGTAAATTATTTTTTTATAGAGACAGAAATGGTGAACATTGTTTTTTTTGGAGATAGAAAGTGGGTCATGATGAAATAATAATAGAAAAAACAATAGAGAAAAATTGACAGAATTTTTAAAAAATATATATGTGAGAAAAAAAAAGGAAAATGAATTAGAAACAATATAGAAATAAAGTTAGTTTGTGAGAAGAAGGAGATAAAATGGATTGAGATTTTATGTAGTTGAGCTTACGGGTATAATAGATAGGAGAGGTCTCTGCAATTATATAAAACCTCAAGGAAGGTTAGTGTAATTTATCCTTTAACCTTTGCATTGCTAGAAAGAGATGAACAAGGAAAGTTGTCGACATCACCTTGTTATGTTAAATATTCTCACAGATAGATAACATAAGGGGAAATCTTAATAATAATATCAAAAGTAAGGGAGGTCAGTGTAATTGTTAAAATTATATGATATTTTCGCATTTTTATACATGACATGGAGAGTATTTTTGTCTTTTTGTATTTTTTGTTAACGGAGCTAAGTTTTGAGGTGATAGTTTTATTTATAAAATAGAAGAAACTCATTACACCTGATTTTTTTTCTACCTTCCTCCAACAGTGACTCTCTCAGTCGTCTCTCACTACTCTCTCTCTCTCTCTCTCTTTCATCTCCTCTCACATCACCCATTCTAATATCGAACTAGCACTGCCTCCCTCCACCGTCGCGTAAAACAAGTAAGAGAGAGATCTGGAGATTTTCAGATCTAAACAAATTAAGAATAAGAAGAAAAATTATGAAAATGAGAAGCAGGTAAGGGAATGATGGTTGTGATGGTCAGAGATGACAAAAAGGGTGGTTGCTTCTAACGAAGGAGTTGCGGGTTGGTTATTAGAAGTAAAGAGTATGAGCTAGGGTTTGGGTTTGAAAAGATAAGGATAGGCTTGGAATTATTGTAATTGTAATAAAAAAATAAAGGGTAAATTACACTTACACCCCCTGAGGTTTGAGTTTAATACATATCGTCCCTTGACGTTTGAGAAATTATACTGACCCCCTGTTATTGTAATTATTTAGACGAAATTAACGTTGGTATCAAAAAAACGTTGAATTCATACACTCTCTCATTTCTTTCTTTACTTTACTTCTTTTTTTGTTTTTTTTCCTTTCCTTTACTTTACTTTTTTTTTTCAATGTAATTTATTATATTTTTCTACTAGGAGTTGTTGCCTTTTATATAAGTAGGAAGGTTTGTGAAATGAGATTATTAACCACAGGGGTGAGAATGTAACTTCTATAACGTTAGGATGTGAGATGTAATCGGAACAAATCTCAAGAGGTGTCAGTGTAATTTACCTAAAAATTAAATTAAAAATTTAAATTTATAAGAATGGTGTAAAAAGAAAAAGGATGTAAGTAGTTAATTTTGTGGTGTAAGTAAAATTATCTATTTTGAGGCCCATTAAGGAAGGCTTGTATACTTTTCCTATACTCGTGGGGCTAGGTGTAATTATTATAACGTCCTGGGCAAGTCTGTGAAATTTGTCCAAAAAGGATGTAATTGAAATTCAATATGTAATTTGCAATTCAATTCAATATGTAATTTGTTTTGTGTGATGAAATATATATCCATAAATTTAATTTTAAATTTTTTTATCCAAAAGTCTAATATTTCGAAACCAAACTCAAACCTCACCAAATCGCTCGCCTCTCTCTGTCTCTCTCTCTATATATGTATCTCACTGCTCCATATCTCTCCTCCGGCGATCTCCCTTCTTCGCCTTCTTCAACAGCCGATCTCCCTCCTCCGTCGCCGCCTCACTCTCTCTCTTCTAAATACCGCCCTCATTTTCAAACTCTAACCATGGCTTCCGAATCATCAGGTCGTAACAACTCTGCTTTAAAAGGGTTCAATTTCGCTACTGAAGACATTCTCTAGGATTCCCTTACCACCAATCTCACTCTTTCACCACCAATCTCAGTGGAATCTCCAAGCCAAGACCCGCGGTGATTGCGGCAGCGATGGTCGTTAGATTACATTTTGCCGACTACCTTCTCCAACTAAGATTAGTATCGGAAATCCCCATTTGATGAGCAAGTTGTTGATGTTGATCAGTTCCAAGAAATTATTGATGTTTAGGTTCTGTAAGAGAGGGTTCAAGAAAGGAGTTGGAAAATTCGAAGATCTTCAAAGATCCTTGAAGAACAACTTCAAATTCTCTAGAATATGATGAGAGGCTTAGATTCTTCAATAATCTCAACTTAGGAACACAACAACAAAGGAGATGATGGAGATAAGAGATTGGGTGAAGAAGAAGGCAAAATGGCTAGAGAATAGAATAATGGCAAGGCTCTCCCATTGATCTCCCACTTTCACTCTCAAGGTGCTAAATACCATTAAGTTAAAAATCTCCAAAATCCATCCCTTGTAAAGCTATGGGTGGGTGCTATTTATAGGCACCTCATGATGTAGGATGGAGCCCATGTGCAAGGCACATGGGGGATATTCTCTCTAACCACCTTGTCCGAGGAGGTGACCCTTTCGAGTCCGGGCCTGAGTAAGTCTCTAGGTTCGTGGATCCGAACCCTTTCGAGGCTTAGAGCCATTTAGCCCATTTGATGGTGATAAATCTGGTCCCACCAGTCTTGGACTTGCGATAAATTTGGGCCCACTAATCTTGGGCTATTGGGCCTAAATAATTTAGTGGGCTCAAATTAGCCCCTCTTACAGGTTCAAATCTGTGTTGTTTTTCCTTCAGATATTTTCACTTTTTGTGTTCATTTTCATATATAAAACTAATCTGTTTATTGAATTTTTTGAGATTTTGTGTTCATTTCAAAAAAAATTGTTTAGTTTGAGATTTTTCTCAAAAAATTTTTAAAATCACTTTCTCTCTTTTATACATCAATCAATCAATTTTTCTCTCTCTTCTTTTCTTTTCAATCACTTTTTCTCTCACATACATCTACTTAATTACAACAAAATATTAAATCATCCTAAACTCCAAAATTACTTTCAAAATATACAACCAAACAACCTAATTTTTTTTTTTTAAACTCTCTCCACAAATTTTTTTTCAAAAACAACTCTCTCAAAAATAAACCAACACAAGCCCAAAATGTCTTCCAAAATAACAAAATGACTTCTTACAAAATTATTTTACAATGGTTGATTTCTCACCAAAAAAAAAATCTCCACTGGACTCAATGCGTTAGACAATTGCTAGAATGGATTTATCACTAATTTTCTTTTTAAATTTGTGATTATTCTTGAATACACCCATATAAAAAATATATGTATTATATGGAAATTATGATATTTGTGATGTTATTAATTATCACAAAGTGTCACAACTAAATTGTTTTCAATTATAACTAAAAAAAAAAAAAATTGAGTCATAATAAAACAATACAAAAGATATAACAAAAAGTTTTTGATCTTAATTAAAAATCATAACTAATATCACAATGAATCAGAACTAACTCATAGCTAATACTTTGTTTGGATTGAGAGATTTGGTGAGAAAAGAAAAGAAATTGTGAGAATAAGAAACCTTTTCACTTATTTGGATGGTTAAATATGTAAGAAATGGTCAAAAATGATGAGAGATGGTGAGGAAATGACTCTCACCAAACTTATGTTTTGTTTCTCACAAAAAATAGTGAGATTTGGTGAGAAAATAATTGGGTTTAATGAAAGTTTTATAAAATAACAAAATTACCCTTATGAAAAACATAATTTATTAATATGGAAGGTTATTTTTGTGAAATGAAATACAACACTTTTTTTTCTTTTCTCTTATTTACTCTATTCAAACAAAATAGATGATAAATCGTATTATTTTATTTTTTTATTTATCCAAATATAATAGTGAGAAAATATAATTTTTTTATTTTATTTTCTCACCTCGCATCACGATCCAAATAGAGTGCAACACCATAATTGGTCATAATAAAAATCACAAATATCATAAAATATATGTTACATAATAAAAGATCACAAATATCATAACTGGTATATCTAGTACATACCTCAAGATGAAGTGTTTATTATATAATTTTCCTCAAATTTGAGTCAATATTGAAGGTTGCGTTGAGTTTGTTTTAGTGATTTTTTAATTTTTGTATAAGGTGAAAAAATGTTAAATTTGTTTGGAATATTTTTTTTAGTTGTATAGATAATTATGAGAAAAAAAAGTAATTAATTGATATGTATAATTTGATATTTTTATATTTTCAAAAATATTTTAGCCAACCCCCCAACCAAAAAAGAAAAGATAAATAAAATTATGGCCAAACAGTACATGAGTAAAGATTTAAAAATGGAACTTGCAAGATGCAACTTGTTCTTTCTACGCACCCCTAGGTAAAATTAAGAAGATTGATAACAAGGGGACTAATAGTAATGAGATTATTAGTAAGAAAATTAATAGTGACAGAATTAAATAAGGTTGTATTTGTTTTGATGGTAGTTATTAAGATGAAAATTGTTAAATTATTACCTTATAAAAGAAATATAAAATATTAAAACATATAAAATTATGATTTTTACTTAACAAATCATACAAAAAAAATTAAACATTAATATTAAAAAAAAATACCTAACATATAAATAAAAAAATAAAAATATAAAAAATTTTAATCTCATAAAACTAATTTCTTAATACTATTTCCACGTCTTCTATCTCAATTCCAACACCAAAACACATCAATTCCTACACCAAAACACATCATAATCCATATCCCTCCTTCCTTTCCTAAAATAAACCCCCAACCAAAACAAACGGGCCCTAGAAGTCTTTCAGCTCTTCCTATTAAGATTCTTTCACGTCCGTTGACCTTTTTGTTATCTTCTCTCTGCGTCGCCAACGCCTCATCGAACGCAACCAAAGCCTTGTCTTTCTTCGATGAAGAGGACGTCTACGAAGCTCGGTGGTTAGTTTTTAATCCTTTTGGCTTTCCCTGAGGTTTTTAATTTATAGGATCTGTTATTAAAATCTCGTATTAAAATTCTATTTGCATCACAAAGAACAGATCTGATGTTATTAATGCGGGTATGTATTAATCTTTAAGTATTTGGAGGATGTGCTTCTATTTCTATTAGATATTTGTGTTCATCTGCTTAACAGTTGTTATCCGAGCCTATTTGCTTTGTCCTATTAGCCACATGACCTATTTTGTTGATCGCTTCTAAATTATGTTCCACTTTTTGAAGTTAACCCTTTCCAATTTTGAAATATTTTTACAAGGCATTGGTTTTACAAGGCCGCAGAATCATGTTGCCTCCTATTTTGATTTATTGAAAAGGCTATTTGAAGAATTGAAGAGCTCCTAATCAGTTCTTTCATTAGCATTGGAATGGTTCAGCTGATGTTGAATGTGATAACCAGTGTTGATTTGGTGCAGTACCACATAATAGTGCATTGAAAACCAATGCCAATTTTAAGATTAAACATGTGGTGGGGAGAATTCAATCCAATTCAATTGTCAATCAATGAATCAGTCCATCAATTAAACAATTAAATTATCAACTTAGGCAATCTCATCAAGATAAAGGCAATCAACTACGAGACACAACATTTAACATGAAAACCATATAGAAACCTACCTGTATAGGGATAAAACCACAATCTCAACACCCAAAAGCTTTCCACTATTGAATCAAATGGGTACAAGATACAATTGAAGGAATTACAACTTCTTACATAAGTTCACATACAATTGAGTCTACCACAAACTTCAACAAGCTTGATCTCCGCTCTAAACAAACCTTGAATCCATCAAGCACTGTTGATCCAACGTCTACCATGAACCCCCTTACTCCAATTTTCATCTTCAATGGCTTCATTGCTCAAAACATACATGGTGCTTGTGGGATAGAGAATGAATTGTGATGGTTTTGGTGTGTAGTGTATCAATATAGGTGAGACTAATGAGGTCAAATCATAATTTTAAGCTCTAGATTGTAGATCAAGTGATATTCATCAATGGAGTTTCAACGAACACGTTTTGAAACAGAATCAAAGCCTTTATGCTTAAAGTAATCACAAACATCTTCAAAAGATCTGCTAGGATCAAGTAAGGGATCATGAGTAACAGACTCACAAGATGTATGATTAACAATAATCTCAAATGAACTCCCATTATTAGGTAAAGAAACAGAGTCAACAATGCTAGCATTAAGTGAGCTCCAAATAGGAGACAAAGTAACGGGATCAACTGACTCAGGAATAGAGGATATTTTATATCCAAAAGTAATCTCATCCGCAATAGAATCAATTATCAAATCAACATCTTGTATTGTTTTAGAAACTTGTTTTTTCTCAAGTGACACAACTGGTGGTAATTCAGCCTCTAAATTTTTGGGCACTTCGGGATGATCAAATTGTGTAGACACAATATGAAAATTGTTCAAGTAATCATGAAATTAATAACTGGCGCTAGTCAAATAAGAGGCATATGATCATTGCTACCTTAAATCATTATTTTTTTCCTAGTAATACTAAAACTGCATGCTTAGGGAATGTATCACAGCAATTGAGTTGTGACCCTACTAGGCAGCTTGGAAGAGACTGGCTTATATTGAAGAGCTTTCTAGTTAGATAATACTTTTAAAGCATCTTCATAGGTTGTGGGTCAAGGGAGAAGTGTTGCAGGGGGGTGGTCAGTGATAGAAGTGGTGGTGGGGCTGTAGTGGTGAGAATGGATCGCAAGGGGTGCGGCTGAGGGGAGGGGGAGTGACAGCAGGGATTGGTGTGATGGGAGAGGATCATGGGAGTGTGGGTGAACGGAAAAAGAGTGTTGATGGGACTGGGTGAGGGGATCTAGGGTGGCAGTGAGGCTGGGTGAGAGGAGAGAAAGTGGTCGCGGGGTTAGGTAAGGCGATTTGGTGTGGCAACTGGACTGGGTGAATGGATCTGGGGTGGCGGCGAGGCTGGTGGAGAGAGTGGCTGGAGGTGGTAGTGGTTGTTGAGGTCCTTCTTCTAGGGTTAGTGTTTGGTTTGATTAGGGTTAGGGTTTTTTTGGAGGAGATGATAAAGGTTAGGGTTAGTGTTTGGTCCTTCTAGGGTTAGGGTTTTTTTCATGTCATATTTTGATTTTTAAAATTAATTTTGTTTCATGCCAACTCTTCTTTTTGGTGCGTGTGACACAAATTTTGTCAATTTGGACGGAATTTGTAACAGCAAGGAGGTAAATTGCAAAACATTCAAAACCACAAGGGGGTATGTGGCTATTTTTAAAACACATGGGGTCAAGTGCTCCAAGGTTAATCTACAGGGAGTAAAATAAATTTTGCCTTATTTTCTTTCCAATAATTCTCTCATTTCATCCCATAAAATAATAATGGGCTATCTAGACATTGTCAAGTCCTCTAAATTTCTTGCCAAAATTGTTTCGCAAAACCTCTCAATTTCATTGTGACTAATTTTATGCAATGTATGTTTGAAAACCTATGCCATTTTCTAAATCATTTAACCAATCTAAGAATTCACTAGGGATTGATGTACCATCAAAACTGTGAGGAACTTTGATTTAATTGGCTCGATTGAAGGACATGGACACTTGTTTGTGCCACTTCTTTACCCCAAACTTTATAAACCTATGTATTAAGGATTTGCGTTTCTTGTCTAGTTTTGAATTGGGTCGCTGTGTTTGAAATTTGTGATGACAATGATTTTCAAAAAATGCAAGACACAACATTATAGGTACATGTTAAAAAATTGAATGCTAAAAAATGTAAAACAATTGTAAAACATTAAAATATATATGATGTATTCATCTTATAAATGTTTTGAAATATACTTAAGAGTGCACAAGTTGCATTTCGAAGAATTCAGAACATTGTTTGTCATGACTTGATTCACCCCAAACTAAGATAGGGTAGTGACTAGCCAGTAGCCGTAGGCTACCAAAGGCCTAACTGTACAATTTTATAGTACTCCCATAGAAAATAGGGGTAAAATCATTAGAAATAGCTGAAGTTTAAAAATTCTTGAACCTGTTTAGCCTTGCAACATCCATTCAGAGCTAGTGTGTAGATAGATGAAACTAACACAAACCATTGCTTTTTTTGTTATTACAAACCTTCACATAGTCACAACAGAGTACAACTTGAAACAAAAGAATTGTGCATCTCATTTACCAAACTAACTATATATATACAAAGGGTCTTTACAACACATTTCTCTTAAAGTTGCAAATCCTTCACGCCATATACACATATACAATGCTAGCACAATCTTTATTCACCTTTGTCACCTAAAGACACATAGGGAGGAGGGGTGAGGGAAAGCGCGATTAATACCCATTTAATTGAAGTTGTAAAATAAATGGATATCTTCATTTGAACAATAATAGCATAGTTGAACTAGAATTTTTTTTTTTTTTTTTTTTTTATTGGATAAATAGTTGAACTAGAAGTTTAAACAACTTAAGAACAAAACAGTGTCATATACATTTTATTTCAAAACAGTTGTATGATATGAGCAACCAATTGGTGCTAACAAATGAAATAACTAGGGAGATGGTTTTATTTATTTTTATTTTTATATAAGAAGGGAGATGGTTTGTTTATATTTGTATAGGACTCTTGGAAGCAAATATATCGTTTTTGAGTGTTTAACTCCAAAAATGAAGAGATGGTTTATATAGGATTTCTCATGACTTTTAAAAAACATAGTAGATTTGAGAAGGTAAAATTGGGATTTAAAAGAAGTAGAAAACATGGCAGGTTCTTCACACTTTTATAATAGTAGTAGATTAGATCATTACTGGACTAAAATTGGTTATAATTAATTAGTTGATAATTTTAAAATTGGTGTTGCGGATTGGAGTTTGGCTTATTCACCTTGCTCTAGGTTCAAACATAACCAACTTGGCAATTTCGGTTATTATTATCTTATATATTATATATAAAGTGAAAAAATAGTTTGCTTAGTGCTCATGTGGTTTTTGACCCTTCATTTCCCTATTTAGTATGAGAAATGTGATGAACCTTCAGTTAATTATGAATTGCATCCAAGTAAAGAATAAAATTTTACAAGTTCTCATATCAATTAGTGGTATATTGATTATTTTTAAACTTCATTTTCCATGAAGTGGTTTATGGTTTTCAGTAAATACATCAATTATGTGGGAATAACTGAATGTAACTCCTAGATGCTAAGAAGCACAGGCACGGATACAGATGCGGACACGAGACACAGTGATTTTAAAAAAATGGGGACACAAACACGGTGGGGACATGACAATATATGTTTTCATTTATTTTTATTTGCTATCTAGATTAATATTACATTCACAAAAATCAATATTAACAAAAACTAACTCTAATTCTATATTTAAAATAAAAAAAAATTAAATTAATACTTACAGTTTATATATATTTTTTATGGATGATCTATTAAGTATTTAAATCTAAGAAAAAAATAATAAACATTCAACATTCATCATTCATCATTCATCAAAAGTATTAAAGAAAATGGGAGAAAAGACAACTTGGCATGTCCCTAGTGTGTCCCCGGCGTGTCCCTTGAAAATAAATTAAATTAAATAAGGGGACACGTCATGTGGCATGTCCCATACGTGTCCCCGCCGCATGTACGACACGGCTACAACACTTGTTTTGAAGTGTTAGTGCTTCGTTGCCTAGATGATTTGAAGTCGAAGGCAACAATATAAATTTATGCATGTTTGAATGGTATTCTTTATCAAACTAGTTATGTTGGCACACCCGAGCATAACGGTGTTTCTAAGTGCAAAAATTGTCGTCTCCTTGATGGTGCTCGCTCCCTTTCATTTATTATGAATGTTTCTAAGTCTTTTTGGGTTGATGTGATTCTCACAGTTATTTATTTTATTAATTGTATGCCCTCTAGTGTTCTTCGGTTTCAAATTCCCCTTGAACTTTTTCCTACAACTTGTCATATTTCTTCACTTCCCCCTCGGATATTTGGGTGTGTTAGCTTTGTTCATCTGCAAAAACATCTTCACGGTAAGCTTGATCTAGGGCTTTCTGCTGTCTTTATTGGTCATCCTGCTTCTTAGAAGGGGTATAAATGCTATGATCTCCTGTCTTGCAAAGTGTATGATAGTACCACAAACACCAACGCAAGAATTTAAAGTAAACTTATCTGATATGATTTGCAACTGCATAATTTTTTCGATTCTGTCTTATTAGGTTCGCAGCTGAAGCGCATATTTGTTCATCAAAGTGGACATGTCAAACACCTTGAAATGAAATTAAAAGCAATTAAACTTGAATGTGAGCATTTGATAGTTTATGCAACCAGGGTGATAGATAAAGCACTTTTGCAAGGGATAATCGTACCGAAGTTATTCCACAGATGGGTTGAGGAGGCAGAAGAAATTGAACATCAAGCAAATGGAATGTTAAAGTCTGATCTAAAGAGTGTGAGTTCTTCAGTTAAAGGTGAGCTTCTGTCAAGTATGTTCAACAAAATTGTTGATCACTTGAAGAAATCTCCATTTCAGCTTGATCTGATAAATGTTGGACCAGTCAATATAACTGTTAAATATAGGCTCGTGGGAAAAACAAAGATTGATGACCATGTAACAAAATTTGAGAGCAAAGCTACTTCTGGTGTGGAAAGTGGGATATCACCTGCAAAATTAAAGTATGCTGAAGAGAGCATGAAAGCTGCCCAGCTACCAGAAAATCTGCATGGTAAAGCAGCTGATGCCTTGTCTACTCCCTCTATTAGTGAATTGTTTCCAATAATCAAAGATGAAATGAAATCCAAATCAGAAATTGAAGAAATTGAAGAGATGCCATTGCAAGAAAATGAAGAAAGGACGGTTGATGCTGCTGGATGGACGAAGAGCAAATCTACCTTGTCAGTTCAAGACAAACCTGAACCTGTGTTTGGAGTGTCACTATTTCCTGGGTTGTCAACACTCCAAGAAAAGACAACTGATGTTAGTGGTCCTGAAGAGTTGGCTTCTAGCTTATCTGTTGGTGAACATGAAGCGGAACATAAAACAGAATGTGAGATAATACGAGTTCCAGAAGAAGAATCTGCTTTAGCAGCAGAGTGGACATCACCTTTAAGTATCAAAACTGAGGTAGAGCCTAAGACGATGCCTCCTCCAGCTGCAGAGAATTTAGCTCTGGAGGAATCTGAAATTGCATCCATTGCATCTGAAACTGAAAGGACACTGTCAGTTTCCAGAGCAGAAAGTTTAGTCACAATTTCTTCGGAAACTGAAGGCCTACCCATTCTTGAAATTGAAACAGAAACGGAGATTACTGCTTCTGAAACTGAAAGAGAACCTCGCGTGAAGCCTGAACTGAATGTTGAACCCCCAATGTCAATAATAGCATCAATGAAAGGTAGATGTGACCAGTTTTTCAACCTGCAATTGTTGATTGTTCATGGTGGCCATTCAACTAAAATGCATAATGTCATCAAAGATCCTGGATTTGGAAATTTGTTGTTTGGAGAAGATGATTATATGGTTTTTGTGAGAACTAATGAGAAAATTGAAAAGCCACCAAAGCTAGAACTAGATCAAGGCAAATTTTCTGTTGGAGAAGATTTGTTATCTGGTTTATTTGGTAGACCCAATATCTCTGATTTTATCTTGTTGTCATCCGGACTAACGGAGCCACCATCAGAGAGAGAATGGCAACTACCTAGTGTGATCGCCTTGATGAAGAATGAATTTTCCTCTCTACCTAAGAAACTTAGTTGCGAAAACCTTGAGTTTTTGTTTCTCCAGAACAACAGGTACCTGAGAACAATAGCTGACTCATTTTTTGATGATATGCCTTCCCTCCAAGTTTTGGATCTATCAAAAACTGGAGTTAGGTCCTTGCCACCTTCACTTTTTAAGCTTACTGGACTGCATGCACTCTTTTTACGTGATTGTAGTAATTTAGATGAACTCCCACCTGCAGTTGGAAATCTTGAACGTATTGAGGTACTTGATCTCTCGGGAACAGAGGTTTATAACCTTCCTGATGAGATTGCCAAACTGAAGCATCTCAGGAGCTTGCCAGTCTCCTTTTATGGAGCTTATGACGATAGTGAGTATCTCAAGCTACCTCCTGTTTTGATTTCCTCTGGTATTATATCAAAGCTTCTATCATTGCAAGCTTTAAGTATTGTTGTGGACCCTGTGGATTGGAGATGGAAGAATAATGCTAAAGCTATGACACAAGATGTGAGCGCCTTAAGTGAGCTAACTTATCTTCAATTCTACTTTCCAGAAGTTGAACTTCTCGAACTCTTTATCCAGAAAAGTCTATCGTGGAAAGCGGGCCACTTAGGCAAGTTCAACTTTGTTATTGGCAAGGATATCAAACGCATTGTATCTCGAGTCCCAGATGATGTAGAGTCCGATTATGGTAAACATGATCAATGTTTGAGATTTGTGAATGGCGATGGATTACTTAGAAAAGTTGCTGGAGTACTTGAACGTGTCGCAGCGTTCTATTTAGACCATCATTGCGTGATTGAGAGCCTTTCAGACTTTGGGATTACTAATTTCAAGGAATTGAAATTTTGTGTGGTGAGAGAGTGTCCCAACATTGTGGAAATTATTGACGGCAAAGAAAGAGCTGACAGTGTATTACCATGTCTTCAACACTTGAGTATGCATTATTTATGTAGACTGGAGAACATTTGGAAGGGTCCTGTACCGCATGGAAGTCTTGATAGGCTGAAATTTTTGTCAGTGCACACATGTCCAAAGCTAGAATTCATACTCAATTGGCCCATGCTTCATTGTCTTTCTAACATGGAGGAGTTGATAGTTGAAGATTGTTCATCTGTAAAGGCGATAATAGAAATGGAGGGGCAAACAATCAACAATGGTGCTATTCTCCCTCAACTGAAAAGGATAAAACTTCATTATTTACCTCAATTGGTGAGCCTTTGGAATGGTCCTGTACCCCATGGAAGTCTTGATAATCTGAAGTCTTTGTCGTTGCACACATGTCCAAAGCTAGAATTCATACTCACTTGGTCCACGCTTCATTGTCTTTCTAACATGGAGGAGTTGATAGTTGGAGATTGTTCATCTGTAAAGGTGATAATAGAAATGGAGGGGCAAACAATCAACAATGCTGCTATTCTCCCTCGTCTGAAAAGGGTAGAACTTCATTATTTACCTCAATTGGTGAGCCTTTGGAATGGGCCGAATCGAGTTTGGACCTTAGAGCCTCCTAGTATTTATGGTTGTCCAAAGCTGAAGATATAGCACAGAATATTCACGGGTTGATTGCAACTGGGAAGGAATGTGTTGCCCAGTCATCGGCTTGTTTGATGTATACTTGTGATGATTTCAGAGAGTGAAATTCAACTTTGTTGATCGTCTCTATAATACTTCAAAAATGAGTTTCCAGCACATTGGTAATCTTTATTTTCTTGTTCAATTTGCAAACTTCCCTTGGTGTGTTGAGCAATGTGTAATCTGCACCTTCAAATTGGAACTTAAGGTCAATTTTGTTCCAAATTTGAACCGAGTTGACATCTAGTTTTTAAAATGGAGGCACCAATGCCATCCTCCCAAATGCAGCAATAATGTAAAATTGATACTTTACATATGTTTATTATTATTATTAGTAACTGATTGAAATACAGTAGTACCTAGGAGTTTTCAAATTACTCAGTGAACCAAAAACCTCAAGCTCTTTGGGTTAGGTTGGTTTGATTTGGTTTTTTAGTGCATTGGTTTGGTTTTGGGTTGTTAAATCATCAAACGGTAAGATTAGGTTGGTTCTTGGTTTAGACCTTGTTTAAACCGAATCAATCTGAAAACCAAACCTATTTATATATATGTATGTATATTTTAAAATTTTATTTATGTTCATTTTATTGCACTATTAGAATGGACTTGATTACATCTAATAATTTTTCATATACAAGAATTATTAGGTAAACGAAGGAAATACTAGAAGTTTTAGTCACATATCGCAGTTGATTTAATTTGTATTGATTGTATTAATGGATTTAATTTGTATTGATTATATTTAAGCTTGAGTTAGATTTAATTTGTATTGACTTGCATTAAACAATATTTTGCTCTTTGTTTTGTGTTATATTTAAAGATTAAAGGCTTGTTTATTATAATTATTTATTATTAATTGATTTGCTTATTTTTAATATAGTGAAACCGTGGTTCTAATCCGAACCAATCCAAGCTACATTGGATTGGGGTAGTTTTAGTTCATGATTGGTTTGGTTTTGGATACAAAAATTAGGAATCAATCATGATTGGATTGATTCTAAAAATTTAGTGTCAAACCGAATCAAGCTGACTCATGAACACTTGTAGTAGTACCGATATATATACCTGCAATGTTCACACATGCACCCTGTTTGGCTTGGTTTGAGAATTTGTTTTTCAAATTTTTTATTTGTTTGGAAAATTAGAAATTAGTTTGACAAAAGATAAAAATCAAAAAGATATTTTGAATTTTTGAATATATTTTGGATCACTCTAGATATCTGCCTAGTCCAATTCCAGTCTTGTTGATGGATGATTGTAGCTACTCTAGCTTTTGGAGATCTCCCCATGTTTATACACAGTTGTCAAGCCATAGGAAAGTGCTTTGGCCATGCACAACTATGTATGTAATACAAAAATGGTAGTGACTATAAACGAATTATCAAATATTAACACAATATTTACATGGGTGTGGTGCTGTGGATCTCACTTATTTGGTAATTTTTTTGAGTTCCTAGCATAAATTTTCGTCCCATGTTAAAGGACAATTTTGCCCTTGTATATTGTATATTGTGTATTTTTTTAACTTACTAATTGGCGATTTTTACTTATTTTAGAGGTTTACAATCAGCTGAGGGAAGATCCATCCCTTTGTAAAAAAGCAGTTGTAAAGCCGCCTCATATTTCATATATATATATATATGTATTTTCCTTCTTATTATCTATTTTTTACTTATTTTCTTTGTTTGCGATCGACAAAAGGGGCTATTATCGGGTTCTTCGGCTGCAGCAAACTGAATTTGTTTTTATGGATGCTGTTTTGTGGGGTTTCATACCCGATTATGTTGATGGATGCTATTTTAGGATATTGACCCCAGGGATGGAGGGGATGTGTGAAAGGTATTTATAGATTTACTTTTTGTTTCTGTAATTTTTTTCCTTTTATTTAATTCATCATTTTTTTCTTTCTATATTTTCAATCTAAATTCTCGTATTAATATTGTACTGGATGTAAGTGCACACCATAACATTTTCCTTTCATGTTTTATACTGTGTGAATGATCTCTAATTTAAATGGAATATAATATGCGATCTCTTGAGAGAAGTTGAGGGTTTTATTCCCACAAAAAAGAATGTTTTGGCCTTTGATATTGTATTTAGTTTGAATTTCAAAAATATATTGTAAATAATTTTGGTGCAATCTCGTTAGAATTTCAACAGCGGCTGGTTATTTGGGGTTCCAATTTGTTTGTTTGTAAGGAAGATCTACCTAAACATCTAGTGTCATTAGGAAAATGAACCTCATGAAACTTCAACGAGCTTTTTTTATCTTGGAATCTTAGACGATCACTGCTATTCGAGCCGCACAACAGTGATGTTATGCAGCTTGAGGAATTCATTTTAGGCATTTTTTTTTTTATGATTTGAACTGTTTAATTTTTAAGAAACATCGAGTGAAATGTATCTATAAAAAATTAAGTTAATCAAATATCGATAGTTTTTTCATCATACACATTTACAAATGTTATTTGATGAAAGGGGTTTTAATTTATAAATCCTGTTATGGAAACTTGTTTGATGTGAAGTCCTGTGAAATTTCTTATTGACTCTAAGGTCATATTTAGATATGAATGTGTTCTATGAATCCTATCTAGTGCAAATCAGTGTTAACAGTGGGCTAGTATACACTTACTTTGTTTCCATTTTTAACGTTAGTTTTTGTATCCCCATATATCGCGTTTGGCTTGGTTTTTGGGAAGTGAATACCCCAGGCATGTTGGTGTGGTTGTGTATCACATTGATAGTGGGCTAAAATGGATGTGAATATGGCAGATGATCGATGAAGGGTTGAGGGTTGTGGGTTGCTTCATTCATCAGATTACGAGACGGATCGATTGATGGAAAGAGGTATGCTTTTTTTTTTGTTGGGTTTTGTTGAAATGTATACCGTTTGATCATGTATCCCATTCATCACAGCAATCGTGCATTAACAAGCAGTTGTACTTATTCAAATAATTTTGTTTTAATTGATTGTGTTTTGTTCACATTGTGCTGGGTAGAGGTATGCTTTTACATTGTAGACACCTACCCGCCAACACGAACATTAGAATTTTTGATCGTTGCATTCCACTATTCGTTTCGTTACCCGTATTGCTATCACGTTGATTGTATCTACTTGGTTATGGACGTTACAATGTTTGTCAGTTGCATTCCAACATTAGATGATCCCACAGTCATAGCTGACACGTTGTGTCCATACGTTTACATTGGGGTCATTGTTATAAGCCCACCTTAGTCGACATCACGTTATGATCATGCCACATCCATATCCAGTGTGAGCACAAATTTACCTTGCCCTGCGTAGTATGGAGCAAATATTTGCCACATTGTGTCATTACCCTATTAGACTCGTTAATTTGGATGTCACATTCACGTTGAACTCATTTCGTCGCCAGTACGAGCGCAAATATGTTACTTTTGGGTGTCACATTTAAGCAGTAGATGGTTCCGACAACCTGACTTCCACAATGTGACCACACGGTATTGTTATTAGGAAAATACTAGGGACCTCAAATATTTTACTAACATTTTTACCAAATGTCAACTCACATTATGTGAATCCCATGTAAGTCTCATACCTACGTGAGACATTTGGTAAAAATATTAATAAGTCATTTGGGATCTCTAACATTATTTTTGTTCACTTTAGTTAACATTACATACCAGACATGTCACACCCGTTTACAATGTAATCACACGTTTACATTTGGATAATACGTATGGAACCCAAATTTTCACACTCATCATCGATTCACCAGATATGCAATACATAGGTAATGTTCCGTCGCACCTCTCTGTCGACTTGCCCTGGTTTTGTTTATTAGTGGTGGTGTTAAAAACACTTGTGTACTGAACCTTCCCTTTTTGAATTAAACAATGAGACATAAGATATCACTTATATTTTGTTTTCTAAAATATACCTTCAACAAAGGTGTAGTAACCAAACAAAATGTCAATTTTGAAATTCAAATTTCTAACCATATAGATATGATCACAATCTATATTAACATTGAATTTTTCATCTATGGTATTGCCATTAATCATATTATTAAATAGTAATATTGGGACTATCTAAAAATAATAATAAATAATATTGGCGGTAAATGTGTCAACAAAAAACTCACAAGACTTATAGGAACATAAAATTTTTCCCAACACTATATGCAACATAAGTCTTCTAAATAGGACTTGTAAATAATTTACCCTCTATGGATGAAACGGCAATCGATATTGATTAACTTAATTTTTTTTACAGGTATGCTTTACTTAATATTTTTTTACAAAATAAACTATTTGAATTATTAAAATAAAATTCAAAATGAGTCTCATAAATCGCACAACTGTCACTGCTATAATAAATGATAAGTTTTTGATCATTTATCTATTAAAAAATACTTCAGACACCAAATTTATCAGTTCTAAAAATCACTCTTAATAATATGCCTAATAAGTGTAAAATTTTAATTTGTCAAATATTTTATCATATAACATCGAAATTTAATATCATATTATTAGAGATAATGGAAAACACATGGTTTGACCATGGGGACGCCGTTTTGATGTTGTCGAACAAGCTGCGGTCACGTCTGATTAATGGATTGGCACCATCTACAATTCGCCACATATTAAGTGGGCCACAAAGAAGAAATGAGTAACGACTTTGGTTTAACATATGACAACGGAAGAAAATGTGACAACGGAAGAAAAGAAGAATATATTGGCCCGTTTGGTAGACTTGTGGGAAAATAATTATAATTTATAGTCTAACAATTTATAACTGTACTTACAAATTAAGTTTTTTCTCTCCCATTCAAAGAATAAGTTGATTTTTAACTTACAAAAAGTTATAAGTTGTATTATTAAGCTGAATCAAACACATCAAAATAGCTTAAATTAAGCTAAAAGCTGAAATAAGCTTTACCAAACAGGGTCATTACTCTCTCGCAAAGCTCAGACTGAGCATTGTAGGGCTGAGCAAGGAATCCGTGAAATCCGTAATCCGATCCAATCCAGTCCAATCCAGTAGGTTTGGATTGGTTTTTTGAATCCGTGGTTCGGTTCCTGATTGAAAAATTAAAAATCCGTAGTTCACGGATTGGTTCTGGATTGAATCCCACGGTTCCGGATTGGAACCGATCCGGATCGTATACAAATAGTCTATATTTTTATTATACACCCTCCTGCATAGTATCTTCTCTTATTTCATATAAAACTTAAATCCAAACCTAAACTTGTATAGTATCTTCTTTTATTATTTTTGTTTGCTAGTTTTTAGTATTAATTTATAATGGTCTAAATACTTATGGTGGAACTAGTTTCTTTATGGTTGTTTAAATTCTAGAACAGTTTGTCGCTATTATGAAAAGACATATTG